GCCACGTGTGAATAATTTCACGCAAGCCAATAATGGGACTCTAATTAGAATACGAATGGTGGGAACTCTTTGCAACGAGCATTTCTGTGCTGCAACAAAGAAATGCACCCTGCAAAGAAAGCTACAAATTGGTGGGAATTCTTTTGCACCGGGGTTCTCCTCTGCAGCAGAAAACTCCACCGTGCAAAGAAGCTGCAATTTAGCGGGAACATAATTCAGTGGTGCCAAAGCACACGCAAAACAAAATCACACCTTTGGGTTGTGACACTCATTACTTATTTTGTGCTTAGTAATTCTCTTAAGAATCCCATGCAACTTCACCTCTTATATTAGTCATACTAAGCTTTGTAGTTTAAACCAGGGCTATCCAACTACTGACCCACAAGCTGCATGTAGGCCATGAGGGGTTTGTTGTGGCTCCTACCCAGCTGCCATTCTGCCTTTTCCACCTCCCCATTGCTCTGGCTGCAAAAGCAGCCAGAGTTTCTGGGCTCCTCCTTTTTCCTCAAACTTCCACTGCCTGTCCCCACCTTGGCAGGTGACGTGGTGTTGCACAAACGGCTAGTTTTGTGCCCCTGGAGGCTTGTCCAATCCACCTCTAGGAGAGAGTCACACACACAGGCTGGGTCCAATTTCAGATTTATTGTTTGCAAACAAGTTCGACAAGGGCGCTTAATGCTCAAATCCGTGTCGACCCCAAACAGAGTCTGGGGTTCCTTTTTATAGCTAACATAAACAAAAGATTCTAACGTGTCGCGTAATTATTGGCAGCCCAAGTATTACGTCTTCCAACATATGTCTAGCAGGTACATGTTCTATGATGGTTTACATACATGTCTCATTTACATCTTAAATCTCCTCCCTGGGGCCGTCTTTAAGCCCATCTCGGTCATTCTTCGGTCAGGGTGAGTTCTTTACATCTGCATCTTTCCCTGTGCCTCTTCTCTTATCTCTCGTAAGGAGTTATTTATTGCATCTGTTCTTGGCTATGTCTGTAGAAGTCTAGTGCTACTCGTAAATCTATCATTGGCCTATATGCCTTAGCAGAAGCAATTGTGTAGTGAAGCCAAACAGTTCTCAGCTGTGAAGCCTTTGTGTAGTGAGATGAGACATTTTTATCACGCAGCTGCTATACAAACGTTATTGCAAAATCATAATGACTAGATTATAACATATTTTTACCACAGTGGGGAGCTGAAGGAGGTTGTGTGGGGAGCTGAGGGTGAGACCAGGCCTCTGAGCATACAGTGCAGCTGTGCATGTTGGGGAGGAGGTGAGTAGGGGTGCCTGCATGGTGCAGTGGCAGGGGGTAGCCCTTGTAGGCATATGGTACAGCAGTATTGGAAAGTCAGGCTTCATGGCAGGTGGTCCAGGCTTGCCCTGGTGTGGCCTGTGCTTTTTGAGGCTTCCACTGGTGCGGCCTGTAGGGCACGCGGCTCATGACTACTTAGCAGTTGGATAGCAGTGGTTTAAACTATAAACCATCCTGCTGTCTCCAGTGTAAATAAAAGACTACAAATGTCTGTCAGAATATTTTTTGGTAAAGGATACCTGTCAAATTTCTCTATTGAGAGGATACCTTAAAGTCAACTTTCCAAAGGAGTCTCAACACTACTGGACCTCCACTTATGCAGGTTCAATTCTTGGAGAAACACAAAGCTAGTGATGGATAATTCAAGCCAGTACTTTAATTCTTTATAATGCAGGGGATCTTAAAGTTTGCAAGCTCTCTCAAAGTTTGCATTTATAGTTAGGTAAAACAGTTGCCCTTGAAGTTGCAAGGGTATCTGTCCATGGCCTTTTGGGAGTATTGGTACATGTAAGGCAGAACCAGAAGCAATTACAGCTATGCTGATCCTGGATTCATAACCTGGGACAGTGTGCTGCATCAACATGACTATATTGCTTCCAAGTCTGAAAGCTAGCTTGTATATAGCCTTGAGCTATACTGACAGACCTGTAATACCTGAAGCTGTAGGCTGAGACTATTTCAAATCTCCAGTAGGCAGCAAATTTTGTTTGTTTGTTTGTTTTTAAACTGAGAGGTTTTTGCATTTTGTAGGATCCTACAAAAGTATGGGGACCTCAGAAGATCATCTAGTCCAGCCTTTTGCTCAAGGCAGGATCGTCCCCGACTAAGACATCCCAGCAAAGGGTCTGTCTAACCTGCTCTTGAAAGTTTCCAAGGATAGAAATTCCACAACTTCTCTAGGTAGCCTTTTCAATGCCTGACCACCCTCATAGTCAGAAAGCAGCTTGAGGCCATTGTTCCTAGCCCTGTCCCGTACAGCACAGAGATAAGTTCATCTCCACCCTCTCTATAAAACCTTTGAGGTAGTTTGACTATTACCAACTGCACCTTCCCCCTCCCCCCAGTCTTCTCTACTCTAAATAACCCTAGTTCTTTCAATTTTTCCTCAGTCTTGCCTCCCAGACTCCTGGCCATTTTTACTTCCCTGTGCTATACTTTTTCCAAACTCTCCACATCCTTCTTGAAGTGTGGGGCCCAAAACTGGACACGGTACTCCAGGTGTAGTGTCACCAGTGCTGAATGGAGTGGAAAAATCACTTCTCTTTATTTGTAAGTGACATTCCTGTTCATACAGCCCAGGATGCTGTTGGCACTGTTGGCTTTTTTGCAACAAGAGCACACTGTTGGCTTATATTGAGGTTATGGTTCACCATAACAGAAGGGCATGTATACTGTTGGCTGTAATCTTTAGTAGAGTAATGGTGGATAGAGAAATGTAATGGCTAAGATTTTCTCAGCTTTTGTCTATATTCATTCAAGACTCAGCTGTCCAGTTCTGGAGTGTTTGCAGACCACATGCCTAGCACAAACCCTTTTCCCGACCATAGGCAGGCCCTAGGTTCCCCTCCCTGACCTGTGGGCTCCCTGGGCCACATGGGCTTCATTGCCCAGTTCCCATGGGCCAGAAGCAGGAGCTGGAGGAGAATGGGAGAAGCCTGCAGGCTCCAGCAACAGCAGCAGCAAGAATGGTGGGAGGAGTGGTGCCTGGGCTGACTCTAAATAGGTATCTGGTAGGCCATGAGTTGAACAGCTCTGAACTAAATTATGGGGTGGGGGGAAGTATTGCAGGCTTTATACATCACTACAAGATGCTTCAGGCATTTTAAAAATTTTTTGTAATGCCCTTGGCGTTCCTAACCCCATATTTTTCCATTTCTTCTCTCTCTCTCTTCCTTGTTGCCCCACTCCCCCAACATGTTCAAATGGTATGCGTTTGTATGAATGTTCCAGTGAAAAAGGAGTCCTCTCCGTGGCCTGTGCACTAGGATCTCTGCATGTTACCTTAAATGGAATTAGCACCTGCTGGTATACAGTCAGCTTTGTAAGATAGAAAGGGCAAAGAATTTGACTTTGAGAACATTTGTTGCAGGTCTCAAGATGAGAAATTCTAAATTATGCTATGGAATTTTTAATAAAGAAATGTTTCTGTTGGTTAAGTATGTGTTTATTTGTAATTTGCTTCAGCTTTGTCTCTAAAGAGCATATAATGAAAAAAGGCAAATTGCCAGGAACACATTGTTAGTAGATGTGAGTACTACTGTGTGATTCCATTCCTTTGCTGACTATGTAACTTGCCCATCTTGCCATCTTTATTCTACTTTCAATTGTAGCCCTGATGGTTTTTTAAACTCAGCATCATTTGACAAAGGCAATCTTTTATCTCACAGTTCACAACTGGACTCAGGAGGAGACTCTTCAGTGGTTGATAGACTTTGTTGAACTTCCTCAGTATGAGAAAAATTTCAGAGACAGTAATGTCAAAGGAACAACACTTCCCAGGTGATTTTTTTCCCTTCTGAATTACTTTATAATACGTGTTATTCATGTTTTCTAATGATCTGCTGCCTCTAACTACTTTTTTCTGCTAGAGGACATGTATTTCAATCTACTCTTTTGTCCTTGCCCAAATAAAACTGAGGCACACATGGAATTCTGAAACCAGAAGTTCTATTTATTGCTGCCATAATATGCTTGAACGTCATCTGTTTCCAGCCAACAGTCCCATGTCTACATTTCATTTATCTCTTGTAAAAATAACTTCCTGATGATAATTTAACAAATTATCTCCTGGTCTCTGGTTTAACGGTAAATATAGTCAATAAAACTGACAAAAAGATCAATATGCTCTAGTATTGTGTTTTCACAGTATAGTTCTTTGTAGCTCATGTAAAAACCTGGTACGTAACATTTGATTTATTGTCAACAGGATAGCAGTAAATGAACCTGCTTTTATGATCTCTCATCTGAAAATAACTGATCGGAGCCACAGGCAGAAACTTCAGCTAAAAGCCTTGGACGTTGTCTTATTTGGACCTCTCACACGTTAGTATATCTAGGGGTTTTATCTTGTGACTAAGATCTCAGTGAGGATATTTGTCTTGATTTCAACTGAGGTTGTATACTGTAGATTAGACAGCTCTCTCCACTGTGAATATATTAGTGCATTGTGAGACCTGGGAAATTTGGTTTGTAGAATTACAATATCAGAATGCTATTTGTGATCTGGCTGTTTGCAGTACAAATTTTACAGGGGTTTGTTAGGCTGCTCTAGTGGTAGTGTTATATATCTTCCTGGGTGAGTTAAAGCTGTTCTTAGGCTGCATACACACATTCCAATAACCTGGGAGAACTCTCCCAAGGTTGGTCTCTGGATAGAAAAACTTACCCAGAGATTTGTGTACAGACATTCAAACGTTGAAGCCCTGAAGAGTTGAGAGCTTGCAGTGCTGACACTGCAGCCAGGGATGGGGGCAGACTGTTCATACATAATGTGGTCAGTAGGCTTCCTTAATCTGCTTGGTGACAGATTGCAGCAGTTGATAGGGCAGCCATGATTGACTCATCCAGACTGCCTATGGCCAACTTGCATTTACCTGCAGCACAATGTGGGAATGGCGAAGTGGGGGAGGGGAGGGTGTTCAGGAGCAGCAGAGTCCAGAGAGTGACAAACTGTCTCCTGGGGGAGGTGGGAGGTAGAAGCTGAAGGACTGTGTTCTCTTCTAAGAGAAGCCACGGCATATTCAGGCATTCACTGTCTCAGGAGAGAGACTTCTGGGAGTGATGTAACCCTTGTTGTTCCCAGGTTACTTTTATTCTAGAGCGGCCACTTTTTACCCTGGGAGAAGAAGCCTAAACATCTGTATACTTGTGGTTTCACCTGCAAGAGAAATGACTCCCCCAGGAAAAACTGAATGTCTGTATGAGGCCTTAGATAATATGTACTAAAAAAAATTTAACTAAACTGACCTCATTACTGAGATGCGGTCAGAGTAAAAACTAGCTTAGTTTAACTACTAGAGTTAAACTGAGCTAAAACTGTTTGCTGAATTTGCACCAGGAAAACCATCAGACCTAGCTCGTTTTACCTTAATTGCCTTCTTTTTCCCCTTGGCCAAGACCAGCATCTTGAACATTAATGTAACAGACAAGTAGGCTTGAAAAGATAATGGATGAAAAACTGAAGGCTGAGATGCTGCTAAATGGGTATTTAACAGAAGTTAGAAACATTGTGTGTAAAACAAACTTTTGCTTTACAAACTTTTGGTAAATCATGGGAAATGCTAAGCAAGAAATGTGTGAATATTAAATGCAATGGACTTATAACAAAGGGTTTCTCTAAAAAACTCTCTATTGATTTAGTACTCACTTTCAAAACCATTTTATGATGGGGGGAGGGGGAATAGTTTTATTTTTGTCTTTAATACCCAAGTGCACACTTTTTATTGGACCTTCTCGAAGTGTCAGATTTAGGAGCTGTTACCTGAAACCTGAAATTTGGCTCTGTCTAGGGCTTCTATAATTTATAACTTGTTCTGATGCCATCCATTGATTCAGGGATTCCAAAAATCTTGTTAGTGCTGAAGTATTTCTTTTCATATTCTGAAATATCTGATACAGCTGTTAGATGGACATGTTAGAAACCTAGGGCTAAAGGACTCATATATACCTATTCATCAGAATGAGATCAGAGGGATCAGCCTGTTGGTGCTGACCCAGACACCTTGTTCTGGGCAGACCCAAACCCTCAGACTGACCACGACTTCTCCATTCAATAATAGGCAAATGTTATTGATACACAGTGATAGCAGATATGAATAATACAGGCGAGGCAAACAAAATCCTTCCCCCCCCACCACTCCATTCTATATCTACCAGTCCTAGGGTTGTCACAGAGGGAAGATGTTTCGCCAGTATGTGAGCTTCACCCTGTGGTTCTTTCTTATGTGTCAGATGTCAGGAGCCTGGAGGTCAAGGGCCAAGGCCTCCCTCCCACTCCAATGAGGTGAGCAAGATGGGCTGGTGAAGCGCCCTCTGTCCATGGTGGCCTCAGGTTCACCCCTCAAGGACCCTTTGCTCTGAAATCCCTCCTTTTGTATTCTTTTTCCTCCTCCTGATGACTCTTCATCTCCAGCTACCGTTGATTGGTTTCCCCGTGGTCATCATATTGTCCACATTCTGTCCTGTCAGCATAATGCTTTGTTTCCTAAACCCATCACATGCACACATCTTAATTTCATCAGTCTACCAAAATCAGACATCCCAAGGGCTCTGCAGCTGGTCACTGTGACCTGACACCAATGCAGCAAACCTATCTAATGTTATGGAACACTTTGGATGTTTTTAATTTCCCAGGATGTGTATGCCTGCTTGCTAATGACACAGTGGGCCTTGAAGGAAACTTTGTCACAAACAGGCTTTTAGAAACCAGTTAACCCTTGCTGTTCCCCTGGACCATTATTCTAATGCATATCTAGTTTACTTACAAGCCAGTTCCTAAAAGCAAATTTCTAAATATCATTTTCTAGTCATCAAGCCTGCATAACAAAAATTATCAGAAAAAAAACTTACAAAAATGCCCTTTCTAGCATGAGCCTCACTGTTGTATGTCTTAGTCCTGTTTTATTAACAGACCACACTTTTCACTATACATTACGTCTTGATACAAAATGTGAGCGGATGGAGTAATGTGACTTACCCCTGTGCTGTTTGTAGTTAGGATGGCTAAAATGCATCAGGACTGCCAGCCTACCAGAACCAACGTGTGTTAGATAATGAATGTGCATATTGGAGTAATATCTGCTTGCTTAATTATTGAGAGACTTTGGCATCTTTTGAGTGTGTAATGTATTGATGCTCAGGTGTTCAGCTACATTGTCCTTCCTGCGCAATATCACTGCTATTAATTAGGAACGCCACGCATGGATATTTACGTATTCTCTGCAATCTGACTCCATAAACCCAGGATCTTTTCAGGCGAGAAACATTCTTACTGTTCCTTTATAGAAGAATTCAGTTAAAGTATATGAACTTTACTTGTTTTCAATCGAATAAGTAAACTGTTAAACTGCATTTCTATTTTGGGTGAATTGAGTAAGATGGCATTTGAAAACTTCTGTCCGCTTGTTCTTTAGCCATATTTAGGAAAGGATTTGCTGTCCCATCATGTTACTTCACTAAATTTCTTCTTTTGGAATTCTGAGGCAGCTGCACCCTTTTGTGTAACTCAGAATTCAAGGGGTCCAGTTGCATTGTACAGTCTCTTAAGGGCAGTGTGAGATGTCAGTGCCTCTTCATGAGCAGGAGCCTGTTTGTCATTTTTGGGCTTAAAGTGGGTACGTAGTGCCCCTGGAATATTTTTAAGTGCATCTTGATGGATATTTTTATGCAGCAGTTTAAATATTGCCATATCTACATGTAAAAGGAATAATCTATTTTATATCACTGAATCCTTGGCTAGATATCTTATGTTTTGTAATAGTATATAAACAAATTATGCTTTTTTAAAATTCAGATCAAACCTCTTTTATTTCTACAGAAATTTAGTCTGGTTAATTACTTTAATTGGATCATTTTTGAATACAAGAGAGATTAACAGCTATATATCTTTAGCTGGGCAGCCAAATTTTTAAATTCATATTGTCCTTATACAAGTCACCTAGAACTTTATGCTAATCTGAACCTGATCCTTTCCCTCATTCACTTATGGGGTTCCTGTTAATCTCAATGACTGCATTGTATATGGAGGGGAGGGACTTTGGAATTGAACCTGACATTCTTCCCAGTTACACAGTTTGGTTACTGATGAATTATTCTATAGTTCATGAAATAGAAATAGTTAATGAAGACTCCAGTGTCAGTGTAGCACAAGGATTTGTTAACTTTCCAATATACAGTGTGCATTGTTAATCTACTATAAATGAAGTTTAGCAACAAATCTCCTTTTGGAAAATGCCCCCAAAAGAATTTCAGAAGGGCACATTGGAGAGAGCTTATGAGTTATTTAAGTTAGAACCCACTTGGTGACTGCCAGGTTCCACCACTTTTATGACTGAAGTCATTTCCATAGCATACCTTTTAAATCTGTACTAAATAATTTGTATAACTATTTGTACAGGCCCCCCTCACAACTGGATAAAGGATTTTGCACTAATAATTTCTATAGTAATTGGTTTTGGAGGCTGCTGGTTTGCATATACTCAGAACAGGACCTCAAGAGAACACATCATAAAAATGATGAAAGACTTAGAAAGCCTCCAAAATGCAGAACAAAGCCTTCTTGACTTGCAAGAGAGGTATGTCAACCAGAAAAGATTTAAGTCTTAGTTATTTGTCTTAATGTGTTATTTTGAGGTATGAATGTTTTCATTTCTTATTTAAAGCTGTAAACTGGGGGAAGAATTGATTAGAGACAACACTGGATTTGTGCACCCTTTGGGTTTGTTTGGGTTTTTTTGGGGGGGAGAGTTCTACCAGTTCAGCCGCAATTGTTGAATATGCCTGACATATTGCAATCTCTCTGTGATATTTTAAATTTGATCAGAGAAGGTGATTCCAAAAAAGACTAAAGAAAAGTGTTATGTTATCCACTGATCGCAAAAGAACTTAACTTGGAATAACCTGTTTCTCATGCATTTTCTTCCCTTCTTTATAGCTTGTTACATTCAGGCAAGACTTTCCTGAAAACTGCTTACTGTTTTTTGGGGGTTATGAATAAGATAATACTTTTTTCATATAGAAGCTGTAATTAAAGTTCTTATAGTAAACCAGATTGTACTTCTCTCTTTACACCTTTAAGTACATACAAAGGACAGTAATTCAGATTGGTGCGCCAGATATGGGATTTTTGTTGAGATTTGAATTATTAGTTGTGATGAATGAATGGCATCTACATATTAAAATGTCTCATGGTTTTTCATTGTTCAGTGGAATATTGGGATTTTCAGTCTTTTCTCTGAGACTTATTTTTGTTCAACTTCAAAGGCTCGTAAAGGCACAGGAAGAAAATAGAAATGTTGCTGTAGAAAAGCAAAACCTGGAGCGCAAAATGATGGATGAAATCAGTGATGCAAAACGGGAAGCACAGCGCCTGAGGGAGCTGAGGGAGGGAGCTGAATGTGAACTGAGCAGGCTCAAGTATGCAGAGGAAGAACTAGTACAGGTATCTAAATTAAGGGTCACTTTAGTTTTCATAGATTTCCTGATTGGGGCTTTGTTTAATGAACTTTGTTCTTTAAAATTATTTTCCTCTCATTAGGCTTGTGGTCCTGGAGGCATTTTCTAATCTGAACATGTTTCATTGCTTCATAGCCACAGAAGCAGTATGCAATAGTAACCTGATTATGCAGACACATGTAGATAAACTGTATAACAAAATGTTACTCAAGTATAATGAAAAACAGTTCCTCATATTTGGGCACCTATATATGTGCAGCAAGGCTGCTCTGATGCACTGTTATTACATCATGTTGGAGCAGACTCAATCAAGTCTGCTGGAGAGTATTAATTATCATGCTTCAGTGTCACATGTATTGGCATCTCCACGTTGAAAAATGGCAGCAGGGGCACTTTTCAGCTGCTATTTTTCAGTGCAGGGACACTGATACATATGACACTCCAGGTGCTTTAGTTGGAGCAGCTCTTTGAGCTGCTCTAATTAAAGCACCCCCCCTTGAGCACGTGAATAAACGCCCATTTATGTCCCTTGTTCATAACTCCTGTGGACTAAAAAATGCCAAGATCAAATTGTAACAGAACGACGAGTTCTCAAAGCTAATAAAGAGGAGTTCTGAGGTCTGATGCAGTATACATAAATTTGCATTCTGAATTTTAGAAATGTCTCGCTGTTTTGCTTGAACACGGCCAGTGCCACATGCAGTAGCTCTGAAAATCCAGACTATGTCAGATGTCCTGAAGGAGGAGTCTTAGGATGATGATAGTGGCCATGGACAGGTGTTACATTTGTGACAGGGGGGTTGCCATCATGGGAAAGTGGCCCCCTGCACTTCCCTGGGTTGACCTGGAGAAGTGTGGGAGGTGGGAAGTAGCTGGGCCTGCAGCAGCAACCATCCTGGGGGTTTAGGAGTGTTGCTACTGTGGGAGAATTGTCCCCAGTATTCCTTTGGGACCAGCTGATTGGTTGGGCTGGAGGGCATTCTCCCAGGTCTGGAACCCTCCCCAGGCTCTCTGTGGCATCTGCTGCTTTTTTGACAGCCTGCTCTATTCCCAGGCAGGGGAGAGAGCAGGTAGACAATCAGTGGGCTTGCACTGTGTCCAGAGTGACCCAGGAATCAGCTTTTTAGTGCCTTGTAGCTGGAGAGCTCACTTGTGTTTAAGCCCCCTGGCTAGGGAGTTACACATGTATGCTGCAACCCCTGGGATATTTTTCTAGCATTAAGAATTTCGCAGAAATTTAGTGCTAGAAATAAATGGCTGTCCATGGCCTGTGGCATTTATGGTTGACTCACATTTACCTTCAATATTAACAAAATTTGTGGTGATTTTTGCATTTCTAGGTTCGAATGGCTTTGAAGAAAGCTGAAAAAGAATTTGAACTGAGAAGCAACTGGTCTGTTCCCGATGCTCTGCAGAAATGGCTCCAGTTAACACATGAAGTGGAAGTGCAGTACTACAATATTAAAAGACAAAATGCAGAAATGCAGCTATCTATTGCTAAAGATGAGGTACGGACACTGTATTCACGTTTGAGGTTTTGCAAAACTTTAGAAGCAAAAGCCTTGTTGACCTGGCCAGTTTTACTAGATAAATGAACTTGTGGATGTAAACATTTTAATGGGATAGAATGTTGTCCGGTCATGTTTTCTGCAGTTAAAATATAAAGGTTCTCTTCTTCACAAATACCTACTACCTTTGTTTTTTCAAAACAATGTTTTTGTCATCTGCATTAAATATACAGCCCTTGGTTTCATGTTTTATTCTGCATTTCAGGCAGAAAAAATAAAAAAGAAGAGAAGCACTGTCTTTGGGACATTGCATGTTGCACACAGCTCTTCCTTAGATGAGGTGGACCATAAAATCCTTGAAGCAAAGTAAGAGTATTAACTAGATGTGTATTATCAATTTTTTTATCAGAAATCATGGAGGTCACTGCAGATTATTTGAATTTGAATTTGATTTTACTTTTAAGTACAGTATCTTCTGAAAAGTTTAATGTGAGCTAGTGTCGAAGGTTATCATTGCATATGAGACAGCAGGGATTACACTGTTCTACTGTTCTGTACAATTGTCAGACAGTGTACTATTGTCAGTGCTGATGACAAAGCAAATAACTGTGTGTGTTCTTTTTTTTTTTTTTTTTTAGAAAAGCACTCTCTGAACTGACAACAAGTTTGCGAGAGCGTCTTTATCGATGGCAGCAGATTGAGAAGATCTGTGGCTTTCAGATAGCGCACAACTCAGGATTACCGAGCCTGACCTCTTCTCTTTACTCTGATCACAGTTGGGTAGTGATGCCCCGAGTCTCCATTCCGCCTTACCCAATAGCTGGGGGAGTTGATGACTTAGATGAAGACACTCCTCCAATAGTTTCACAGTTTCATGGTATGTCCCCGCAAAGGGAGACATTAAGGAAGTGTAGCAAGAGTAGTGAGAAATAATGTGGTGAAAAGAAATGAGCAGGAGCTTTGGAAGAGGATCAAACAAAGTAGATCTAAAAAAAAAAAAAACCAGGGGGCCATTTTTGACAGGAAATAGAAACAAGTTTTAAAAAAAGGTAGGACTTAAGGTGTTGGTGCTCAAACAAGTTGCCAGAGGCAACAAGAGACAAGGGTGTAAATTCACAGCATACTCTGTTACTTGCTGATGTGCTTGCTTTCGCTGCCCCTGTAAATGTGTGATAGCTTACGCTATGGATCTTCGTAGGTGGGTAAGTGAAGCTTGGTATTTATCACGGGATAGAGTATATCTGTAAGTGCACTCTTAAATGCAGAATAGATTATGCTAAATTCACACCCTATCTTGCTTTGTGGTAACGTGTGATGCCCATATCTTAATGGGGGAAATTAAAAAAAAAAGGTTTTTTGGAACTACAAAAATTAGAACCCCAATAAATGGGCTGGCACTAAGAGTAAAGATTGAAAAATACTTCCTGTTACTGTTGACTCTAAGCGGGGAAAAAAAAAGAGAGAATCTTAAAAATAATGTTTTTGTAAATCTGGCCATGCAAATTGGATGACAAATTTGTTTATAAAATCCAGAATGTTCACATTCCTATATAGTTAAATGTTAATCCATTTCTCTCCCATATTGGAAAACAGACTAGCAGGTAAAAAGTAGGAAACTGTCCCTTAATATTTTTGTGAGGATGTGTTACATAGCTTTCCAGACATATACCATGCGAAACAAATTAGTGCTATTGTCCAGAGAAGTTTTCAGACAAAATATTTGTGTGGGATGCAACTGGTTATTTGCAAGAAGGTAGTAAGTCAACAGTGGAAAATATTCTATCTTAAATTAAATTGTAGTTGAAAAATATACATTGGGGATTCAGACCACCCTGATGATGTAGTCATTGCATCATCACTAGACACCAGGCTGTTAAAATTGTGATTACCTAGACAGTGAAGATGACTTCACACTTGGCTGCTGAAGACAAAAAAAATTCTAAAGATGTAAAGCCTAAGAAGGGATGAAACTTTCTGGCAGTTATTGTCACAATTTTCTATTGATTCTATTTTCCTTTTAGATATAGGGTGACCACCAAAGAGGACAGTCTGGTTGTCCTCTGTCCTCTATTAATACAAAACCCAACGCCTTTATGTCCTCTATTTTTTTCTTGAAGAGAAAAATAGAGGACATAAAGGCGTCAGGTCTCGTATCAATAGAGGACAGAGTAGCAGAAAACTAGAATGTTCTCTACGATGGTCTATTTAGATACCTTTTAAGGATTCTCAGGGAGTTAGGAGCATGTAATGGTTTTGGACACTCAACTTATTTCAGCTTTTGAAGACTGTGATCTCAGTGTGTTGTCTTCCGTACTCTTGAGTGCTACATACTTTTAAGCTTCAGTTATCTGTTAACAGCAGTTTAAAAATTTGAAACTGGTGTGCATTTCCTACCAAAGGTTTGCTTATAAGCTAATAACCGATTCCTTGGCTTAAAATTGCTGAAAATCAGGCACCTAAATCATACATGGAGACTTGTGCTTAGATTTCAAATAATGAGCCCCTCCTACCTGTCAGCACTTCTGAAAAATTCAGCCATAGTTTCTAGGGCTGCCTATACACATGCTGGGGTGGGTGTGCATTTTAATTAGAGCAGTTTCTGGAGAGCCTCTCTAATTAAAATGCTGCAGCGTCACATGTATTAAGCCCCAAATGGCCACGGGGTGCTTTAACTAAAGCTTATTCAACGAGCTTTAGTTAAAATGCCCCAGTGTCCATTTCTAAACCCATGGGGCTTATACATGTGTTGCTGCAGCAATGCTGGAACTTTTTAATTAAAATGTGGTGCAGCAGATTAACCGAGTCTGCTCCGTTACATTTGAATTGGAACAGGGAGCATGTGTATAGGCACTCCTGTGGCTTTGGATGCCTAGTTTAAAGAATACCAGTTCTAGCCGCTGTATTTGCTTGTTTTTTAGAAGATAGTAAAAGAGAAAAATAACAGTGGGTTTAAGGAGATAGGATTAGAAGGACAGCATCTCTTCTGACATTTAGTATATCTTAAATCTTTATAGTAATTATCCACACTTTCACAAATACGATTACAAAGTTCCTATCATTTTAAATTATTGTTTTATCGGTCAAATTTTACCTCAATTTGGATGTTCCCATTTCATTACAGATGCATTCATATTTAGGTAGGCTTGAACAGGTAGCTAGAATGCTGTTTTTCTTCTTTTTAATATGTAAATAATTCTTTGGTTTCAGGGTTTTATGTAAAGGATACAGCCCCATTTTTACTGTTGAAGCTTCACCAGAGAAACTACTTGGTTTCAGATTTTTATCAGGCGTGTGTGTGTGTATAAATGAAACAAACATTTATTGTTGTTCATTCTGGAAAGTACCCCTTTCTTTATTTAATCTATTTAATTTTTTACTTGTGTCCTCTAAACAATAGTAGTAGTAGTTTATTTACAGCTTTTGCTAAAACAATACTAAACAAAAGTAAATAATGCAGACAATCTATAAGTAGGGCACTAGTTTTATTAACAATTAATTCATTCATGAGGCTGCAAGCATAAAATCCAGATAGGTCAGTAATGAGGTGTTGCTAGACCCAGTTACTGCAACTCACTTCTCTGGACTTGGATATCTTTGTTCTTCCACCAGTCTGTCTTCATGTAGCACAGGGGTGGGGAAAATCTGGCCCCACAGGCTGAATCTGGCCCATGGAGGGACTTTGACCGGCCTGTGGTAGATCCCTCAGTCCTGCCTGACCCAGGTGCCATCTGGCCCATGGTGCGCATCCTGCTATCCCCATGGGGCAGCTCCTTCCACTTGCCACTGCTGGCCCTGGCCTCCATCCCATGGAGACTGGCAGGGACCCACATGTGCTGCCCTGACCCCAGTCCACTCTGCTCCCGCTCCAGCCCTGCCCTGACTGGAGTGAACCAGCTCTGGACCAGCCAGGACCTGCACTCACTGGCCCAATCCTGACCCACTGTATGCCCACTTTGGACTGGTCCACCCATTCTAAGTTGCAGTGTCCAGGAAGAAGCTGTGCTGGGCATGAGGGAAAAGTGACCACCTCTCCCTCACTGCTGCCAGGCCCAGAGCCTGTGCCTGGGCTGCCTTGAAGCTCCTCTTCACTGCTGTTACCAGTGCTGCCTCTGGGCCACCCAGCGGGGCAGTGGTGGCAGTGAAGAGGAGCTGCAGGGCAGCCTGGATGTGGACTCTGAGTGGTCACAACAAGAAGGGCCTGGCAGTGGTGTGGGTGGGGCAAGCTGCTTTTCTCATGTACCCAGCAGCAGCTTCTGCCCCATGCATCATCTGGATGGGCCGGTCCAGAGCAGGCTGGGGCTGTGTGTTGGTTCCATGCTGGTACAGAGCTGGTTCGCTCTGGCCAGGGCAGGTCTGGAGCAGGCGTGGGGCAGACCAAGGCTGGGAATGGGGCTGTGTACTTGAATCCCGGCTGGTCCGGAGCTGGTTCCCTCTAGCCTGGGCAAGGCTAGAGCGGGTGCAGGGAAGGCCAGGGCTGGGGTTGTGTGCTCAGCTGCTACTGGGCACTGGTGGTGGCAGAAGTGGTAGGGAGGAGCCTCAGGGCCTGTAGGCTCCAGGTTTGGTGAGCTGTTGCCCAGGGGGAGGTGGCAGCCCTTAGAGCAGGCAGCCCCATCCCCCTTTTCCCACACCAGTGAGCTGCCGCAGCACTCAGTAAGTTGTTTTTGTTTTTTTTCCTGTGGATTTCATAGGCATTGCCTGGATTTTGCAGAATCCAGCCAATGACCATGAATCCAGGGAATCGTGAATTCAGTAGTCCCTACATGTAGCGCAACATATATCTTTCTTCAGTTAAAGAGAAACTAGAAGCATTACTAATATGTTAGGGAACTACCACTATATTATTCAGTTTCAGATAAAAGCAAAAAACAAATATTACTGTTGGAATGTGCATTCATTTGCTGGAGTGTATATAAAGTTTTAAAAACAGAACAAACTAGGCAAAAAGTAGTCAAAGAATATTGTACCATTTGTCCTGTAGTCATTATAGTTAAATGTAGTTCAATGTCAGATTCTGAAGACAACATCTTGCCTTCTTGATTGTCTTTATAGTGCCTCCAATACTTCACTGTCATTCATTTCTGTAGCTGAATTAATATTACCACACCTGAGTTAAGGTTTTTAGCTAGAGCTAAGAACAGTCTGTAAGACTGTAAAATTGGAGAGAAACATTACCAGGAATGGCTAACAGGCAGCAAAATTGCAAAAAAAGGATAGTTTGGATAGTGAAACATCAAGACCCCTAAAAAGGATAGACAGTTGTTAACACCTGTGGAGAGAGTTTAACAGTAATAAAGGAGATGATAATAAGCCATGAGTCAATTGACTTGCTCAGCACTATCTGAATAGAAATGGGACTGCCCCTCAGGCATTTGGTTTTAAAGTTTGGGTGGAGCAGGAATCAAAGGCAGGTGCATCTGCATCACTGCTCCTCTCCTCCATCCACTCCTGGTATGATGTATGTATAGAAGCTGATAAACCTGAAACTCATAACTGAACAAACTACAATGAATTAAAAAGGGCCTGGGACTTGTTGAACAACTACTCCACAGTAAATATATGCTTGTTTTTACCCTGTGGTAAGTGAATGCTGAACTGGGGGAGCCTAGTCCTGGGTTTATTCAGGGTAGTCTTCCCAGGTTTAGCTTTTATTTACCACAGGTGATGGGTTGTTATTGTAAAGCATCTGCTCCATAGTAAGTCCCTTTCCCCCTTAACTTGCTGTACTTTATTCATTTTATACCCTCAGATATCACCATATATTTTATCCTAAAAAAGTCAAGACGGGGTACAGCCAGCCATCACTATCCCATAACACTGATTTATTAAAGTAATTTTGATTTTGTATACACAAGCATTTACTTCACTTTAAAGGGATACCTACTCCATGGTTATGCCAGCTCGTAACTTAATCTTCAAAGCTCACTTCACTATCACAGTTCATCGTATTAAAACTGCAGTCAGATTCAGTGTATGCTCATTTTAACTAGTAATCTTCTGTAACATTGACAGGTCAAGAGCTGTGTTCAGCTTAGAAATAAATGAAGCAAAATTTAAGAACTGTAGATTTATAGGCTTCCAGAGAGCAGATGCTATATAACATTCTGTCCTTGAACTCAGTTACTACTCAGTTCAACAAAGTGTGCAAAAATCTGATAAGTTGAGGTCAGGTGCAGCTGCGCATTGTAAGCTGTGACTTCCCGAGTGACCTTCTGCTTGGAGAGTAGGGTGGTAACTAAACCTACTGTGAGATTCCAGGAAGTATAGAAGCTAGTGGAATTATCTGCCTTGTCCTTGCTTGTCATGGTACAAATCTATATATAAGTATGTAAGCAAATAAGTTGATACACAGGAAGAGACAATATGGGTTATCCAAAGTTAAAATGGCTTCTCAGGAGGAAAGGTGCATGTGGTATTAATCCAGCCTGATTTGCAAAATTACTGAATTTCCTGACTTATTTCCTTAGTTAAGTAGAGTAGGCAAATTTGACACCATTGTGAGCAAGGCCATCCTTGTCCAAGTGAAGTATTGCAAAGCTGCCATGATCTTAGTATGAAGAAGTCTACAAATTGTGAATGCCATAGCAGTGAGTCTGAGTAATTCCACAGGTTTATTTTCACTTGAGTGGTTCTGGCCGGCTTGCTTTCCAAATAAAACAAACTGGAACGATTTCCTGGACTGCTGCGTGTGGCCTCTTGTCAGACAGTTCCTTAATAAAGTCTTAGTTTGCTTCTTCATTATTTGACAAGGAGGAACTGTACCTCATCACCGTTGCTGTTGTGGTAGGTCTGGGGAAAAGAAGCGTTATCAAAGAGGAAAAAAATATACCAGTACAAATTTCTTGCAGTTAAAACCAGACAAGATAAATCTGGCATCTGCTCAATATTTAGCAGAAAATTCCTTCAATATATATTTGACATTTTCTGTTGAGACAGCAGTAATTGGCAAGTCTTGAATAGGTCAGAGTTCATAACTGTAGCATACATGATTTTAAATAAATTTAATTTACTCCAGACGCTTTTTTTTAGTTAGGTTTACTTGTTTGAAAAAGGTGCTTGAAAAAGCTGTTTCCTCTTGTTTTATGTTGGTTATCACGCAAGCAAAATACAGGAGAATAATTGTGTAACATATGATAATGTAATACCACCATTTTAAACCTACAAACATGCAGGACCAGATTCTCAATTGAGATATCTGTCCTCTTCATGCTGCCTGGAGAGGCGGGTAGGGGGCACATAAGGAGCCAGAATGTGGTTGCAACTAGCCAGAGGGATGCTTTGGTGACACAAAACTGCTATATTCAGGTCCTGGATTCCCACAAACCCCTCTGGGGGAGAGGGTGTGGCAAAGCAAAAGTTTGCTCCACCTTTCCTCCTGTTTAAGTAGTGGTAATTGAGCACTCTGTAGCTGTTCACAGACACGTTGATCCTGAAGATCATTTATCTAATATGTCACTCCTGCAAGAAAGAGTATCTGCCTATAGGGTTTTCAATAATCATGTTAACATCAAGTAACACCGTTTTTTTTTCCCCCCCTTTCCCTCCCAGGGTCCATTGTAAAGCCTCCCAGCACCTTAGCAAGAAGCAGTAGTTTGTGTCGCTCGAGGCGCAGTGTTGTGCCATCATCTCCACAGTCGCAACATACTCAATATACTCCGCATACTTTGCACTCCCCTGACCCTGACATCCTTTCAGTGTCAAGTTGCCCTGCTCTTTACCGTACTGAGGAAGAGGAAGAAGCTATTTACTTCACTGCTGATAAACAATGGTATAAAGAATACCGGCATGTTATTAGAAGTCTGGTAGAATTGCTCTTAACTATTTAGAGTAGTGTTAGAAGTCGAACTGAGCCAGAAGATATAGTAGCCAACAGGCTGACCACCTCAGTTATTATGACTCGTTTGGAACACTAAATGGACTTTTCATGGTCAATACAGCAGGTAGAATTTGGTATTTACCACAATCTTAGATGTACTGAATCAGTTCAAGTTCTTAGCTGTATTTTCTCTGATGGGGACCAAAAGCAATCTTAGTTATCAGGCTGAGAGAAAGTGGACTGCAATGCAAACCTTAGTCAGAAGAGAGGTCAGAATGCTTTCCTTATACTTTATACCATAGAGAGCTCTCTGCTCACTTGTTGCTACCTTTTTTTTTTTTCCTAAGGAAAAACATAGTCTTTTCATGGGGTAACAAATGGGTTGACATTGTATGTTAAGGACTTCTATTCTCAAGTAAACTTTCAAGTATAATCACCCTGAGTCCATTTTCATGGGTTTCATAACTTTTCTTAATTTATTTACAGAGCTCTTGTTCCCTCACAGTCTGTCTTTTAGCTGTTCATTTCTGAAACGGCACAAGAAATTGGGATATCACAATAACTTCTAAGACAGCATCCTGTCACAATTATAAATATAAATTAATTCCTTTGCTGTTAGGATTAAAGAGGAGGTTTGGAATTATTTAAACACTGGCATTGCTTACCAGTAAAGGGGATGCTAATATTAGCCAAATAAACTTTAAAAAAGAAAAGTGTGTGTCAGATTTGTGCCAGAGGTAAAATGCTTGAATTAATTTGTTTCTGTCCATTGTATTTATGTCTAATTACTAGTTAGGGAAAAACCTGCTAGTAAAAGCAGGAGCTCATAGGAGAAAATTTGTCTGCTCTAAGACTTCAGGTGCTTCTTTAAATTGTATGGTTATACTGTACAGTGTATTTGTAATTGAAAGTTTTAAATTCAGAGGAATGGTAGTTCAGTAGATAAGGTCCTGGCCTACAATAGATGTGTTCCTTGCTTTGTCACATACTTCATGTGACTTTGGTCAAATGTCTTTGTTCTGACACTGAGAAATAAACTGAAGAAATTGAGGCTTTTGAGTGCTGTAATAATGAAGGCTATATAAGTATCTTCAATAAATAAGAAGCTGGGTGAAAAAATGCTGCTTTTTTCGCTGGTACTTCTCTCTCAGTTTTTTTTTTGTTTCTTTACATTCATTTTCCCTCAAACCTTAAATTTTAGGAAAGTAGATGTCTTCATAATAGACTTTGGCTTGGTTCTTCCTATCTTAGGGAATTCCTTCAGAACACTAATATTTTTAGAATGTGGAAATACTTTATTTGGATGATTGTTGCTCTTCTACTTTGAAATGCAAATGACTGATTCTGAACAGATCGAGGACTTTTACGTGTGCTCCAGGGGTGGGGATGGTGCTTTAAGTAGAGCGCTCTAATTATAGTGCTGTAGCATCTGGCGTATTAGTATCCCCATGCTTCAAAATAGCAGCAGGGGCGCTTGAACTAAAGCTCGTTCGATGAGCTTTAATTCAAGTGCCCCCGCTGCCATTTTGAAGCACAGGGATGCTAATACATGAGACACGGAGGCTGGCTGAAGCGCAGTAATTATC